AACTTTAATTATAATAACAACACCCTCAGTTTGAGGAACTTTAAAATTATCATTGGGGTTCATAAGCGCTGGAATATAGGGTGCAGGATGGGCAACTGACTATCCAACATTTCTGCACCGGGGGCAGAGGGTATCTTCTGCCCCTCCCCCTCTAAAATGTCACTATCCGCGTTTTAAAACAGCGATAATTTTATGCACTCCGAAAAAAAAAACTTTTGCATTCAAAAAAATGCAAAAGTTCTTTTTTTTTTAAAGAACTTTTGCATTCAATGAGAAAGTATTTTAGCTTATCGATATTTGTATTTAAGTTCCTGATGTTGATATGTATTACCATGAACTTTCCTACGTTAGTTTGAAGTTCAGCTTTAAAAGTTTTAATAACAAAATATGTAGATTCAAATACTTTTCCGTTATAGAAGAAAATATCGCCCTCATATAAATCAGTCGCAAAAAAAATATTTTCAGTTTTGAAAACGTCAAAACGCAACTTTTGAAAGTCTATTGTTTCAAAGACATTATTGTTTCCATGACAAAAAAGAGAACTAAATTAAGAATTTTTATTAAATAATGTCGATGTTCCTATGTTGCAGTTACAGCTACAACTGCTTCCACAGTTGTTTAAGGACAAATCACTGCCTAAAGATTTACACCAGCTAGCAGCGGCTTTAAAAAACCTTGAGCCAAGTACCCGCAGGTTATTTGACATGGTGGAACAGGTAGTTGTGTTGTGTTTATCTGTTCCAATATCTGTAGCTGGTTCTGAAAGGTCTTTCAGTGCATTGAGACGGCTTAATACTTGGCTGCGGTCAACAATGTCACAGAGTCGCCAAACTCGCCTCGCTTGAATGCACATTAACAAAGATTATCTAGACCAGGTTGGCATTGCAGCACTCATGGAGGAGTTTGTGGTTAAAACCCGTGAACGTTCATCCGTATTTGGGCATTTTTTACAGTAACTGTAATTGTTTTTGGTAGGTTTTGTTTTGTACCAAATATTTAAATATATGATTTAAAAAGGATTGCAAATCTGCATTTAACAGGGTTAGTTATGCCTTAAAAAAAAATTCAGTGGGATAACGCCCCCCAAACACCCCATTCAGGGAGGGGTAGCCCTTCCCAAGCCCCATCAATTTTTGATCCCCCCTCCTCCTCCAGTCTTTAAACACTTCTAGCGTCTATGTTGGGGTTAACATCATATATTAAGTTATTAAAACTTAAATCCGTCGACTAATACGCAACTCAACTTAACCTATTGACTTATATACTTGCAGACGTTTGTACGTAACGCTATGCAAGTTTTTACATCAAATGTATACGACATATTACTATCAATTTACATAAGTTACATATTTACATGTTTACATCAATTTCTTACACTTCCTTATAAAAAAAGTGCTGAGAGACTATTTTTCACCTTTAATTCGGGATTATTGGCTGTCTTCAGTTTTCTGTCAATACGCAAGAGTGGGCACTTCTACCATCAGGTTTAGCATTTTTGTATATAGACATTATACAAGTAAATGATCTACAACACTACACAATGTATTTAAAAAAAAGTGGAGCACTTTTGATTATAAGCGGTAATAGGACAAATATAAAGATAAAACGCATTATCGTTTACGTTGACATTTTATGCAAAATGTCAACGTAACATAAACTATTTTGAGGAGAAAATATGAATACTATACGGCAATAAGTTATAAGTTCAGGTCTTATAATAAATAGTTACCCTAAATCTCAAGCCAAATACATTATGGCGTGTGAAATCTTTTTATTAAAAATTTTTATAATAATTTGAAGTAAAGAAAAAAACTAACTTCTTTAAGACTCGAAATTTGATTCGATTAACGAATATATAGGTGACTTTATCAGAGATTTGATTGAATGTTGTCACGCGACTTTCTGATAATAAAATTGGCATGACATTTAGAATATTTGTCACGCGACTTTTAGGTATTAGGTATGGCATAGCATTTATAATTATATTAATCACGCGACATTTTAAAATTAAGTATGGAATGACATTTAAATTTTCTATTTATCACGGAACATCTAAAATACTACTTTGTCGCATGTCACCAAGCCCAATTTTTCACGCTACTTTTAAAGAAGTTAAATGGGGCTTGTTAAATTGGTCTTGGTGACATGGGATGCGATAGTGTTTTAGTAGCCCTGTGACAAATAAAATGTTTAAATGTCAAATCATACTTTAATAAGATAAGCAGAAAGAAATAATAAAAATTATATTTTATCTACTTTAAAAAAAAAAACAACCATCATCATAGTGCAACGTTAGAATAATTTTATTTCCACTTTTTGAAAAAATTGAGTTATTGATTGTGTCATAGTGACCTTTACCAAAACCCTAAAGACATCATATAACTTTGATAAAGTAATAATTAAATCAAAGTTGAAATTTTTAAAAACTTTGTTCATGCCGCACCCAATTGCAAATCATCTGCCTTTTAATTATCTGACAATTATAACAGATACCACTATTACCAAAAATTGTTAGGTGTCTAGGCTTATTAATTTTGCCAGCTAAAAATAATGTGATGCATTTAATATTTCCATAAATCTTGCGTACCTAGTATCCCACAAGAACCAAGCAGAAACAACGACACCAGGAGCCAGAGAACAATGGCCCCCACTACTTTTTTCTAAAGAATCTTCTTTCTTTTTTTTTAGAAATTTTTAGATATAGAGGACTTTATTTACGAACTGACGATTGTGCCCCTAAACTTCAAAACCGGTGTTGCCGGCTCTGTCAAGTGTCAAAAGCCCAGTCTGCAATGACTCAATCATAATTAGACATCACCATGGAAAAGTATATTCATAAAACTGTTTAAGATACTATCACAAACCAACTATTTTTTTAAATGAATGTGTGCTGGAAAAAGATGACTAATCACGTTAAAAAGATGATAAATCACGTTGCGTGTGATAAATACATGAATAAATAGATCCTTTTCATCTATTTTGCTGTATCATACAAAATTTAGGAATTTTTCCCTTTTTAATATACGTTGTCAGCCCTTCCAACTTTCGTGACCTTCCTACGCCACTGTGTGTGTGTATATATATATATATATATATATATATATATATATATATATATATATATATATATATATATATATATATATATATATATATATTACTATTATTAACTAGTTGAGAAGTTAACTAAATTTATTTTCATCTTTTTATTTTCGAGTTAACTAGTTTTTAGTTATTAGTAATTATAAGTAACTAATACGGATTTAACTAAATTTACCTTCATCAATAAATTTTAAAGAATAGTTTTTTAGTGTTCAAAACCTATGACCTTTTAAAGTTTGTTAACCCCACAAATTGAACGAGTTTAAAATTATATGGTCATAAATTGTTTGTTTGTTTTTTAACATAAAATTTTTTTATTCTTTATTTCATAATCATAAAAAAGTAGTCCGAAAAGTTTTTTAGTTACAGCATGGAAGAACAATAAAGTTCAAGCGCATGTTTGCGGGACTACGCTTGAAATCTTTTGTTTGGTAAACCTACGTTGTAGCTGTACTTTGACGCACTACTTTTCTCATTGACGCATTAGCGAGATTTAAAAATAAAAGACCAAATAATTTAAACAAAACAAAAAGTTATGGAAACCGGCTTGTATTCCAGTAATTTAAAATATATTTTAAGAATGTCAAAAATCATTTATTTCATTTTATAAAAAAAAAATTCAAATAAAAATATCAAAAACTGTAATTATCCTCCATTTTCATTTACAAATTTTTCAATATTAATTCGGAATAGAATATATAGTATATACTTTTAATATATAGTATATTAATATATAGTATATACTTTTAATATATATATATTAATACATGCTATAGTATATTAATATATAGTATATACTTTTAATATATATATATTAATACATGCTATATTTAATATTTTAATACATACTTTTAATATATATTTTACTACATACTATATTATATAATATAACATGTAGTATATACTTTTTATAATCTTTACTACTTTTAATCGCTGTTATCGCTACTATTATATTTATTTACTCCTTCTTATATTATAATAATTATTATTTTGTTACAGCATGGAAAAAAATTATTTTCGAATTTGACAGGTGCTTACTTGATATTAGTACTTATTGCTTTTTGTAAATAACGTTGTAACAACTTTATTCCGAATATATTTGATTTGATTTTTTTTTAATTCGGAAAAAAATTATTCGAAAATCGAAGTTGTATCAAAAAAAAGGTTTCTACTATAAATTAAAAACTGACGTCAGTATTAAGTTGGTTTACATGAAAAATAATATAAAATATGTATTTGGAAAATGTATATATATATATATAAAACATATATAACTTTGGAAAATGCTTTTGTACTTTTTTTATTATTTGAATTATTGGAACGCGAATTAACTTATTTTCTTAGGTCTTAACAAAAATAAGCAGATAATGTTCACTGCGCCAAACTTAAAGTAATTTAGTTTTGGTTCCACCTTAAACTTATAAGAAATGTAAAAAAATTTTCTCGGACGACGTTTATGCTATCGATAGATAGCAAAATGGTGAAAAAAAAAAACGCTTGTAGCTACAAAGAAATTCAAATTAAGAAAAATAATTGAAGTGAATTTAAATTTTGAAAAGAATTAATTTAGATTTGAAAACGTTCAGAACATGGAATTTCATTCCATTATAGTTTACATAAAAAAAAAACAATTTAAAAAAAATTGTCGCCATCAATGCATGGAGAGAAAAAAATTGTCGCCATCGCAATTTTTACTAAAAAAAACAACAACACTCATTTTATTATAAAAATTCTTACGAAGTAGCAACCGTTGGGCACAATTAATAACTAATGCATACTTTTCTTTTTTATTCTCTTTTTTAAACAAATTACAAACATTAAAAAATATTTAAATGTAAAATAAAAAATAATTAGGATGGGGGATTTATATACAAATAATTTTTCAAAACTTAAATTATAAATATATTTGTTTTCCTTCGTTAGCTTTATACTTACCCAAACCAAACTGATAAAATAAAATATCCGAAGTATTAAGTAATAATGCATATAGTAAAACGTTAGGTAGAAAACAACATTCCATTTTACTTACGAACTTAACTCCAGAACCAATTTATAAAAATATAAGCTTTATAAAAAAGTTCGTCAGAACTGTTAAAAATTAAAATACAACATAAAATATTAAAATCTTCATGATTCCTTCAGAAAATAAAGGAAATGTCTTTAAATGGAATTATTGAAAAGGGTCATTTTTTAAAGTTGTGTTACACCACACCAACGGGACCTCTGTTTGTGAAATACATTGTTCCGTTAGGAACTTGATAAGCCATCACATGATGTTGTGGAACAATTTGTGGAGCATATATTGGAGCTCCGTGAATGTGTTGCGGAGACTGAATAATGTTTTGCCCCATGGCAAATGAGTTTGCTTCTCCATTAGCGTAATGATAGACCGGATAGTTAAAAACTTGTTCATACGGTATTGTATAAATAGGATATATCATGGGCTGTTGGTAATTAAATGTAGTTGATTGAGGAGATATATACTGTTGTGGGTGAATATATGGTTGAGTAAAGGCAACGGCAGGTGAACACGGAGTACACGGGGTGAGAGTTTTAGCCGACTATATAATAAGAAAAAGAAAAAAAAACAATAGAAAGTTAAAACAAACAAAAAAATCAAAAGAATTATTTAATAGACAGCCAACTTACTGTTTTTCGTTTAACGTTTACTTTTTGCCAAACGTTACTTAAACGTGGAGCCGGAGAACCGCTGGCATCCTATAGTTACAATAAAACTGTGTATAAAATAAAAAACATGATATACTTACTGTGCATAAAACAAAACAAAAAAATTTAAGCAAATAAATATTGATTATAATAAGACAGCTATTACTATTTTCTCATTCACAGGAGGAACTGTAATTATTTTTTCGTCACTTAAACATTCTTCAGAAGGCGAAGGAGTATCGGAGTCAGAAGATTCTAATGAAGCGTAAGGGGGCGAGAACTCAGCAGCAAACTAAAAAAACGTTTAAATTATCTAATTGTTTTATTTCAAGTTAAAATGTATAGAAAACGATTAGAATAAGTATAAAAACATCAAAAAAACAAAAAAAAACATCTTAGAATAATCAAATTTAAAACGATGTTTATTCATATAAAACTTGCTAACCATTTTTTTAACAGCTGGTCCAATGTTAATTTTTTTTCCCTTTAGATAAAGATCGTTTTTAGATAAAACATTCTCGACGTCATCATGAGAAGCAAAAGTCACGAAACCAAACCTATACACAAAGATATTTGTATAATTTGTGTTATAATCATTTATGTCTAAAATCTTGGATACTTTATTTGTAAACAGTGTTTCCTATAATGTTACAAATTTAGGTAATAATTTTAATTGCACCTTCTAGACCTTCCGAATGAATCCAATACAATTTTCCCCTCTAAAACAGTTCCGTACGAACAAAAAAAATTCGCTAAGTCTCCAGCACTTGCCTAAAAGAGTAAATATATAATCAATACAATTAGTATGAATATATATATATACATAGAGTTGCCAGAAGAGTCCGGTTTTTTACGATTGAGAACACAGCAAAAAAAATTATTTTTACATGTTTAGCGCTGTATTCTCCGACGTAAAAGTCGGACGTCTGGCAACCCTATACATATATACATATATATATAGACATATATACATACATATATATACACACATATATATACATATATATACATACATATATATACATACATATATATACTTATATATATATATATGTACATATATATACATGCATATATATACATATACATACATACACATATTTATACATATACATACATACACATATTTATACATACATACATATACATACATATATACATACATACATATATACATATATATATACATATACATATACATATACATATACATACATACATACATACATATATATATATATATATATATATATATATATATATATATATATATATATATATATATATATATATATATATATATATATTATATTATATTATATATATTCATATACATATATGAATATATACGGTTCGGCTAAAACAAGCTTACTTTTCCTGGAAGATGGCCAACGAAAATCCTGTTTGGGTAATGAGTTCCGTATGTTCCCTCGTCGTCTACATTTTTTACCGTCGTTGGCGAATTTCCGGGAACATCTTTTACTTCTACCTAAACCAGTTTAAACTTATTTATAGTTAAAAACTTCCAATGTTTCCTTGAATTCATCAAACCATCTTGAATTCATAGGCGCATTAAATAAAAATCATTTAGAAATTTGTTGCAATAAAAGTGCATTTTTTTAAATCATTAATAAAATTTTTAGGAAAACAAATAGCAATAATTAAAACGAAATTGCATCTTAACAAGTAATGATCATTACAAGTTAATAAAGAAAACTAATGGTTCATGACATCACGCGATTAATTATTTCGGTTTTAAACGCGTTTTGGCATTTTGAATTATAAGAAATTGCAAATTACAATTTATATAAATCATATATAAAATTCTATTAAAATTTAAAAAAATGTTAACAAAAAGAATTGAAAAACTTCGTTCAAATAGTGCGCATGTAGGAATGTGTCTAATTTCAAAATCTTTGTCTCCTGTCGCCTCGATATAAATATTCCAAAATTTTTTAAAGTTTAAATGTAAAAATAGTTCGCAAAATAAATTAACTTATGCAAAATTTTAACTTCGTGTTAAAAATGTTTCTTTTTTTTCCGTTTACTTTTAATTTCGAGTAAATTATTATAAAGCCTTTAGTAGCAAAAATATTTGTTAAATTAAATGATAAAAAGTTGATAATTTAAATATTTAAAAACATTCAGTAATCTTTTTATATTACTTTTTTTTATATATATTATAATATATATATATTATTTTATATATAAAATAATATATATAAAATATTTTATATAAAATAAAAATCGAGTAAAAAATATAAAATATTTATGTTTGTAAACAACTTTAAAATGAAAAAATTAAAATAGAAATAAAAAATTTAATAAAAAATTAAAGCAAAAAAAGTGAATTTTGGTTTTGCAATAATAACAACAAATGAAACTTACTTGGATATCAGTCGAGTAATAGTTGGCTGAGCCCACTGATAAGCTATTTAATTCCCTAATCGGTACTTTTGGAACCTCGATACGCAAGTTTCTGAAATTTTTTTTCGATGGATTTGTTGCTTTTGTAGAACTAACTGTTTCAACTTTCGTGGGATTTACTGTTTCCACCGCTTCTTCGTTTACTTTTACTTCGCTTGCTGATGTTTGAACTATCAAAGCCGCCATTGTTTTTAAAATTTTTAATTTAATATCTCTCCGCACTACTTTGCCAAAGATGTCTAGATTCTGAATTTATAGCAGCTTAGTACGGAAGAATTATCACAAGTAATTAGTAGAACGTAGTAAAAATTTACGCCTTCCGCGTGAAAGTTTGTTTTCTTTAGAAAAGATAATAATAGCTAACAACCAGCCTTAATTGTTTTTCATTACCGCAAAATCACTTCTATGCGTAATTGTTGCGTTCCTCAAATAACGGATTTAACCGAAATAGACGTCACAACTTATGTTCGCAGAACTTTAGGGCAGTATAACTTTTTAAGGTCATTAACACAAGTTAAATCAATAAAAAAATTGCAAAATTGAACTCCTTTACACAAGACTTTAGTTAAAACTATTTAAATTGCGGGAAAAAAAAGGTCAGTTTAGAAATATTGCTGACTATTTTTTTTAAGAGTAATTTGTTACTATGCTTTTTTGAGCGTTTGAGGTTTTACGCTTTTTAATTTTCTATCCTTAAAAACCGTTTTACGCAAATATAAAACCTCAATTTTCAAAACCTCTAAATTTTCTTTGAACCGTAAATGTTATATTTTGTATTTTAAGGTGCGTATTTATTACGCGTTGTAATTAAATGTTTCTTATTTGACTTTTCCTTAAATTTGAGTTACAATTAACTTAACAAATAATCAAGTTCTAAAGAACGATATTTGATGTAGTTTACCACTATTGATGTAGTTTAGCACTATTCTACCGACAGGTTATTGTAAAACGAAAACTAACTTTTTCCCTTTTAGCGTATCGGTGCTAGTCAACCTGTATATTTGTAAAAGCTATTTCACTCGCTTAAAATTAAAACTTGTTTATTTATACGAGAAGAGTTGATCTGTGAGATATTTGCAAGCTGTTGCATCAAGTGCGCAATTGTTTAGTAATTGACGCATGGTTTAAACAAGGCAATATTTTAACGAGTAAACAAGTCAAAACATTTTATAGAAAACAAATATAGCATTACTAATTCAAACTTTAAATTTCAAACTTAAGCAAGTTTTTTTTGCTTTTTGACTTTATTGACCTAAAAAGCTAAAAAGCAGTAGATATATACTTCTTACAACTTAACTTATAAAATAGATATCTCTTTGTCAAAAATAAAATTGCTCTGTCTCAAAAATAAAAATCTCTCTGTCTAGTGCGTGCGCATATGGATATTGGGGAAAAGGGTGTTTTATTTAAACTGTTAATTTTTTTGCATTACAGAAAAACTTTGTGCGACTTTAAAAGTATTACTTTTTAAAGGTTTTTTTTACAATATCATTTTATCACATTTTAGTTTTCTCTTGAAAAAAACATATATATCAAATTTATTTTTACATGACCTCATTGTTTGCAAAAAATATCATCATGGTGTAAAATTTTTTTTCAGTTTCGAAAGACGGAGCATTGCTATCGTGAGAAGTCCCATTTTTTAAGAGCGGAATACAAAACCTAAATAAATTTTTAGGGCGTTCATTAACGTATAAAACGAGCCGTGTTCACGTTGAGCAAGCATGACATCCTTTTGAGGAAAGGGGAAACATGCTTTGATTTAAGGTTTAAAAAGGTGGGGAAGAGTTGGTTTACCCATTTAAAACCGGCTTTGTTGGTCTTATTTTCGCTCCTTAATTTTTGGTAAAAATATTTTTTAAAAATTATAAATTTGTTTTTTCGTGAGTTCGAACGCACGCAAAACTTTTTTTAATAAATACGTTTCGAAAAATGTTGCGACAATATCAAATAATAAAATGCAAAAAAGTGTATTTTTAATGTTACGACAATTTGTACTTAAATAAGTTGAGAATGTCCCGTTTTTTATGTTAAAGAGTGTCTGTTTAAGTTTTACTAGATTTGGCACGATGCTCGTAAAAAACGGGACTTTGGTCACGTTTACTTGGACTCAAGTCATGCCTGAATATCGTCACCACATATCAACGTCACTAGGTATTAAGTTATAGTAACATAAAGTTTATTTAAAATTCACGATAAAAAATTTTTAAAATTTTATTTTGTATATTTAAAAAAAATTTTAGTGACGTCGTAATTTATAAAAAGCAGCTTTAAAAAACACGTCGAATATAAATAAATTATAAATAATTTGTATGATGTCAAAACACATACCAAAGTTGTGATATAATCAAAAATGCAACACTCTGATGATTTGAAATATTAAAAAAATATATTTGATTTGGACAATAAATATTTTACATTATGTAAATAAAACTTTTTTAAACTTTAAATCTAAAGCATTTACTTTATAAAATAGAGGAAGTTATATAGAATTTTGTGTTTTTAGTAAATTACTCATATGAGTTTTGTATATGCAACAAGGAATGTTGAGCCGAATCAGAAAATTATGGCTACGGCCACAGGTGACATATTTTTTGAAGTTAGGACACGGGGTAGCAGAAAAAAATCCCCTAAAACAATTACCTGGAAAAAATCCCCCTGATATAAAAATCCACCCTTTTTAGAGCGCATAAAATAAACGATATATTAATGTAGTAGATGTTTATAAAATAAATATTTTATACATGCGTATTATGTAACAAGCAAAACCTTAATCCTTCATTTTTCATTAATCGACTAACAAATTGGTAGAACATGCAAAGAGTGTACATTTATTGACTGAAAAATAAGGTAGAACCAGAGGCAGTTTTAAGGAGGGGGTGTTCCACCCCTCCTTACCCCCCTCCTCTCCAACAAGGTTCCTCTCCAACAAGGTAATTTTCAAATTATAGTCGGTCATTTTACGAATTTAGTCGGCTAATCGGGTATTTGACACAATTCAGTCGGGTAAATTTTAGTTTTGAGGACCTTTTTTTTTTTAGAAACCAGTTGGTTTCACACCCCTCCCCCTCATTTTATTTATAGAACCGCCTCAGGTTAGAAAATACAAGGATTGTACATACATCGACTGACAAATAGGTTGAACATGCAAGGAGTACCGCCACATTAACTGTGGGTTTTGGTTTGGGCAAGCAATCTAAAAGTATTTAAAAAAAAAATTTTTTTGCGGAGGATTTTTTCCTGGGGAATTTTTCCTAGAACCAGACTCCGATTATAAATTTTTTTAAACTTTTGTCTCAAGTTCCGGCTCACAGTTTTTTTGCACCGGCTCACAGTTTTTTTGCACCGGCTCACTAACTACATTTTAATAAGGTGACCGACGTCCTTCAATTTTTGTAGGAGAGTACCGTAAAAATCTAAATTTTCATTAGATTTGGCACAGATCTCTCCTAGGTAAAGACATTGGTCACTTTGTTTTAATCACTAAAAAAAAAAATTATGTATTTAAATTTTTTTTAAAATTATGTATTTAAATTTTTTATTTAGATTTTATAAATTATTTATTTAATAACTAATAGATACTATAGATTTTATAAACTAATTATGAAATCTTGTTTCTTTATATATTTATAAAATCTAGTTTCGAAGATGAAATGAAGAAACTAGATTTTATAAATTTATGGAAAAACTAAATTTTAGATTTCATTTAGGAATCATAAATAGATTCGAGAATTTAATGAAAACAAACTAAAATACTATTATAATAATATTTTATGATATATTGCTCAGCGACACATATCAGCAACACATGATAAATTAATAATTGACAATAATCAGCAACACATGACAAATTAATAATTGACAATAATCAGCAACACATAATAAAATAATAATTAGTAATAAATGAATAAATCAGCGACAGAAACATAAGCTGCTTGATGCTACAATTACATTGATCTTATAAATTTTTTATAATCAAAATATGATTTATATTACAAGATGGATTAAACTTGTATTTCTAAACGTATAGTTGAAATATACTCTTACTGACTTTATTCAATATTTAACAATTTAGTGAGATGTCGAGTAGTGTTGAAATGTGACACATTCATAAATTAACTCTACTCCGACAACTCACTGGTTTCTACTCCGAGAGTTTTTAGTATATTCGACAATGTCATAAATACTAAAAACTCTTGGAGTAAAAATCTGTGACGCTTTAAGAAAGTTTTTCAAAAATTCGTTTCGATCTTTCCTATATTTGAGATAAAAAAAAAAGTTAAATTTTTTTTATGCTGTATAAACAAATATACAGCATTAAAAATAAATAAAACTTTACTAGTTGCCCGGACCCGTAAAATATGGGTCTTGGTAAGTCTATTCCACACCGAACATTTTTATACTTGTTCCTTAAGTCGTTATTTATAATATCAATAGTAAGCAATAGAAAAATATTTACATTGTCTACTTTTTAAAGTTATGAAAACATTTTTTACAATACAATTAACTTTTAAACGCTTTGGTAGCGTTTAAAATTTTTTTTAACGGCTACCAAAGCGTTTAAAAAAAATTTTAAACGCTTTGGTATCCGTTAATGGCTACCTTGCGCAACGCGTTGCGGAAACCGCTAATTATGACCGGTTCGTATATTAGCACCCGTCTAAACAATATTTAGAATACCCGCTTGAAATGCGAGATTAATTACAATTAGTATAAAAAATTTTTAATTGATATGTAATTAAACAAGAATAATGGACTTACTATGTCCCATTTAATACGGGTCGTGGTAAATCTGTACCACACCGGCCGTTTCTATACCTAATATTTATAGAATTGTTTTATTTCAATAATTTTTAGTAAGTGAAAAGAAAGCAAAAATCTTTAAAATCTTTGTTTTGAGTTAACAATTAATCAAAATAACTTCTTATTGTAAAATTGTAAACTTCTATAAGAAAAACTGGGAAGGGTTTATCAATTTCTTTTTTTTATTAAGTTTCTATTAAGTTTTTTATTAAATCTTTTTTTCAGACCATCCGCGACTTTCAAACCGTTAACTAATTTCGAAGATTTAATTGAAAAAATTATATTCATATCGTAGGTTAAATTATGCTTTTAAAGGTATTGTTGCTGAGATTTAATTCAAGATATGAAGAACAAAATATTTTAAATTGTTGGAAAAAAAAGGTCCTCGTTTTTTAAAACTTGCCGACTGCCATAATGACATTTGCCGACTGACTGTCTAAATTTTCCACTAACTTGTCGAAAGGGTTTACATTTGTCAACTAAGTATTCAAAAAGGGTCAAATTTTTAGACTAAATAAACAAAATAATCATTGATGGGGGGGGGGGGGGGGTATCACCCCCCCTCCCTCACACACACACACACATACACACCCATCGCGCCG